TAAACCCTTGGTGCAACGACGAGCGACATTGCCCCAAGGCGTTCGCAACGAAAAAAAAATGAAATGTCCGTTCCTTTTCAGAGGAGCACACTCCATTTGTGTGCAAGAAGTACTTCGAAGCTATCAAAGATGATATTGCAATTACGAATAGTTAATCAATCGACAGCTTCCTTTTAAGGATTTCTTTTCTGTTGAAACACACTTCTGTTCAACATTCTTCCTACTCATATTTTAATTACAATCAAAAATTCAATCGAAAATTAGTCAAATGAGAGCTCAGTACCAGTTAGGGCCGCTTGTTTAAGTCCGGTTAATACAAACCGGAAGTAAAAGCTGCGATTAAATACAAAGGTTGCTTTAGGGATTATGGATATATATATGTATGATTTCGGAAACGTTGATAATGATGTTTAACTGGGAGGTAGTGATAACCAGACATTGAACAAGCTGCTCCTAATCTAGCTAAAGTAACAACATTAGAATCGTATGCATAAATTTAGTTTGAAGTTGAAGAATTAGCCGATGTGGTTGAAAGTAGCAGATCGGCTGATACCCCCAGGACGATGTTGTTGGGAGTATTGCACAAGCGATACACTAAGAGAACACTTTGAATAGTCAGTGAATTTTTGGTTTGGGTTGAGTTTCTCAACTGAATACAGGAATTCGCAAGGCGTTCTGTGGAAGGTTAATTTAACAATAATTTTTCATCCACCTACTCCTGAATGGTGTGCAATAAGATCTATCTGCTATTCCCAGGATCGATGAAGGTTGAGTAGAATATTTATCATTGTCTCGTTTTATATTGCAACTCCTTAGGGTTGTTGCGTATGCGGATAGAGAAGCAGGCAAGTTTATTTAGGCGGTTAGTAAAATACGAGTATAGCAACCTCTACTAAACTATCTGGCAAGCTGGATGGAAAGGATGAGTCTGGGGGTCAATATCTCCAAAATTGAACTAGGGCTACAAATAAGAGCTTTCTTTGCCCTTGGGAATTTAAGATACTTAGAACAATTGGCAGGGCCGTTTTATTCAAATAGCACATTGGTGCATAACTTGGTGTAAATTTACGAATTTTGGTATAAATCTGATTAATTGTACCAAAGTTCACAAATTTTAAAAAAGTTATACATTAGTGTGCTACTTGATTAAGCGATAAAGTTATTGTTATCTCCACAAATACCTTCAAAAGGGATATTGGAACAGAATCTGTCGTCTTCATGCTCTCGCGTTTTTACGTAGTTTTTTTTTCTGGAGAATTGGTGGAACCAAGTTTTTTGGGAAGTCTAGATTGTATATGGAAAAATAATCTCTCAGTTTTACAAGGTTGGCGAATTTAAGCTTTTTTTCAATTTGAAGTAAAAATAATTTAAATGCAAATATTTATACCTTCAAAAGGCCTTTCTGGGAGCTTTGTGCTCCGAGGAATCTGAATTTGCAATTTATTTTTTCCAAAAACGGCCGCTGGCACCCAGCTATGATGCAAAAAACATTGAAGGAACATGAAGGAATAGTGCAAACAGAGTTTCTCAACAATGTTTCTAAACATTGTTCCTTTTTTTTGCACCAGATCGCATCCAGTGTTCGTTTTTGGTAAAAATGTATAGCAAAAATTAATTGCGGATTCAGATTGCTCGTACCTATAAACCCCCAGAAAGGCCTTTGAATAACTTACATAAATTACTGCTGTAGACCGAAATATTAAAATTTCTCAGTTTCGACATAACTACAATAAATTTTAGTTACCATCAAACCTGAAATGACTGATGTTTCTATAATCCTCAAGAGATATATAGTAAAAAAAAAACATCGATATGCGTCTTGATGTTGACCTACATTTTTACGTACAAAAAGTACATTAAAGGGTCCTTTCAATAACCAGAAAAAAACACACTCTACTTGTTTCTAATAGTATGCTGGCAGCCGTTGCTGAAAGCCCAAAAATATTCAAAACTACAGCAAAAACATTGCCAAAAAAGACAACAAAATGGCTGCATTTTAGTTTAGCATAAGCTGAATTTCCAGCGTTAAACTAAAGGTTCCCATAAGCAGTCGTTACTGCTAGGATTTCTTTTATTTTTAAAATATTATTTTAGTATTTAAGCTATAAAAAAATACTAATTTAAAAAAAAAAACAATTTAAAAAACCACATTTTCATTAAAAATAGTACTACGACCACCCGTTCCACACAAACTATGTTAAAGCTCTTTACCTAGAAATATTTTTTAATACCATTTTAATTCCTCGATATTTTTCGTTTTTATTTTGCATGCATTCCCAAATGGACGCTGCTGTTGGCTTTGTTTCACCGCTGCTAAATAACCTAAATAATGGAATACGTATTTCATCTGCAATGCTGCTATAATAAAAACTAAAATCACGCAAACAATAATACCGACAAAACACAAACACAATGCATACAAATACAATTCAACAAATACCTGCCACCAAACCACATACATTCATATATATTTTTGCGGTGCACATCGCGTATGAGCAACATTTAACCCATACAACGCTGCATTGCCATCTCATCTATCTTCTGTTTGTACCTTCGTTGCATTTATATTTGTATTTATTGCAATTGCATGGGTATTTTTGCCGCTTAAATTGACTTGACCGCATTCGAACTGAACCGCTCAATGGTCGGGTCCACCATATGGTCACTCTGTTCAATG